ATAAATCACCACTAACACTTGGAAACTTGGAAGAGGACTCCAATGCTCACAAAAATTGGCCACTCTTTGTAAATACTCTAGGTGCCATTTTCTTGAACCAAAGTGCTTCTTATATAGTGTGGTTACATTAGGGTTACACCATGTAAACCCTAATGTGCATGACTTTCCACATTCCTCATGATCCATGGGTTTTAACCTCCATGGAGTATCCATGGGTCACCACATGGGTTAAGCCCAACATACGGAATCATGGATTATTAGCCTACATTATAAGAATGAATGATCTACACAATCAATCACTATATATTTAATTAGTCTCTTTTGACCACAATATTAATTCCAAATTAATTCTTGATGAATACTAATTAAATAATACGATTTCCTATTAATATATTATAACTTATAATATATTAATAAATTATACATATCGTCTTCTCAAAAATTCACATTATTCTGGTGAAGTGCAACCCAAATGGACCATGCTAAATTGGGTCAAGTACATACCAAATATAGTTATGGATTTAGCACCTTATCCAACAAATACAATCACATCACACCCTTGCCCTTCTCACAGGAACAAACTAAAAAACATTTAAATATATCGGGTAAGCACAAAGCTTAGTGACTTCCCTAGTATACCACATATTCCATTACACATTCAATGCATAAAAACTATAGGCTCACGATCCCATCGTGAGCCCCCCATTCTACCAGGCATGTAGGCTTGCAGTCTAATATTGTTTCGCCATCATCCCATCGTGCATTCTTCATCATCCTAGCGGACCTGTAGGCTTTCGTTACCATCTTATCGGGTCTGTAGGCTCATAGCCTATGATTGTTCCATAATTATCCCTTAACTCAATACCATTCCTGCTATCATCCCAGCCAAAGGCAAATGATCTCATCATAATACCCACCAACTAACATAACAAAGACTACTCTAGTATAATCATACATTCATATAATATCAATGCGCAAACATCCTACCACGCAAAGGATATATAATGTCACACATCGTATAATGAGAGAACTTAGCTAAAGCTAGTAATCTGATTCTCACACAGAAGTCTCCGCAACGGATCAACTACCTCGGTCTACCTAAATTCATCATTAAATGCGTCTCAGTGACCATAACCAAACATATGTTAACTAAAGTATAAAACTCCATGTATCATCAAAGTTTGACTAAAAGTTAAATTGGTCAAATGTTCAATGCGTTGTGTCTAGCATAGGGACGCATCGTGTCCAGTACAGTCCAAAAGAGTCGCGAACCAGGCTACAATTCATGTTGCGACCAACGTTTGGTCGCATCGTGCTTCCTGGGCAAAACAACTACTTCTATTAATTGATTAATCTGTTACATAACGGGCTATAACTTTCTAGACACCATCTTGGGAGGTGTGTAATGAATAAATATTTGAATTTTACTAACATGCAAGCCCTTAACATATCAAATACTAACCCTAGATCCAAAACGATGCCAAAAGGATAAGGATTTCTTGCATGGTTCAAAGAGAGTTTAGCATGCACTCTTTTTACTTCATTGAGTCTTGAAAAAATCCATTTAAGACAACCCACAAACCTAGAGTTTTCTGAACTCCAACAATATCATAGCAAAAAGGAAAAAATGATTAAAACTCTAGATCTAGAAGCAAAGAGCCATAAAGGTGCATGCTTTGTCACTTACAAAGCACTATTAGAGGATACAAAGGCTGAAACTCTTTGGATCTCCCTTCATTTTCACTAAATATTACTTTCTTCTTTTTCAAGCTTCACACCAAAGGTACGAACACACAAAAACAAGGAAATAAGGCTACTAGAGGTTTACAACCGTAATGAAAGAAAACCCTAGGATTTAGTGCCTTTAAATAGTGTTCAAATCCTGAGATTAGGGTTTTGGGTTGTTGGTGGCGACGTGTCGCGAAATCCATATGGATGCGTCATGTATAAAAATCCCCCACGTCTCGTGAACAATACATAGACACGCCACAAAGTTGTTTTCCACCCAAAACCTTCTTTTATATTTTCCTTAAACTTAATTAAAATTGGATGATTAAAACATGATCGGAAAGTAGGCGTTACATGACAATCTCGTTTCATGTGACTAGTTTGTTGCAATTCCAACATACAAATTTTGGTTTCTTGTTGGAACCTTTATGATGGTCATATTTCTTTTTCCCTTTTTCCCTTATTATTTTTCTGATGTTTTTCATCTTTCACCATATTCATAAAATATCTAGAAACTTCCTTTTCCTTTCCTTTTCCATATTCTTGAACCCGAAGGCCCTTTTCAATTCGTAAGTGGCTGCCAAGTAATATAAGAGAAAAATCTTCCTTTTGGTTTTTTAGTATGTGCTTGAAATCCTTCCAAGATGGGGGCAATTTTCTATGACACTTATGACACAAATGGACATATCCAATTTCATCTTGTGTTGTTCAAATTGTCCCAGAATCCCCATGACTTTGTTGTACTATTCCATGATAGGCACTGAATCAACTA